TCACCTGGGTTTGACCGGCGTCCACTGCAGGATGAACCTGCCCAGGAAACTGGAGGGGATCCCACCGTTGGATGGGCGTCTGCTGGGCAGGATTTAAGACCTCAGAAGTAAAGAGTCTGTGTTTCTTAAAAAATAGTGTGATCATTGCACAACGCAGCAGAGGAAAGGCCCTTGAACTTCACCCTGTTTGTGAATCTGTGCAGGTCTGAAGCCCCACAGGAGGGGCCCCAAGAACGTTCCCCCTCCGCCCCACTGAGAGTCTCTTTGGGAGTACAGGCCAGGGTGATGGCAGCAGTCATTCCCAAGTGGATTGTCCCCTGAGGGCTTCAGAGAAACTTTTCTCAGAGTTTTATCATCGCAAATGCACAAAGAAGGAGACCGGCCAACCAGGGAAGAGTTCGTGGAGGCCACTGTCCACTATCTCCTGGCAGATGACGTTCTTTGTTGCTCACATCAGCAGGCGATGCGACAGCTCCCAGTTTCCGGCAGCAGAGAAATAGTAGTAAGAGGAGCCTGGGGCAGGAAGTGGAGTCGATGGAAATTTTCAACAGATGGCAAAATCGTAACTTGGTTTGACTGCTGGTGGAAATGACCCAGCAGAGGGGAAGATGTTTTGGGGCGATGGCTGTGCGTGAGGGGGGCGGAATCTGGTGTGTTTGTGTGTGTGTGTGGGGGGTCAGGTCTTAGAAGCACAGACGGCTCGTCCTTAGTAACTGGAGGGGAGGCTGAGGACTTGGGTCCAGGTGCAAGTGGGCGGGTGGGTGTGATGGAAGGGGCTTGTGGGTGTTCTCTTCTGATCGCTTTTATTTTCCCAGTATAGTAAAACTCAGGTCACTGGCTGAGAGCGAAGGTGGAGAGATGTCTCATGTCTGAGAGGAGAGAAGAAGATGTAAGAGGGTTGTCTAGAAGGACTAGGAGGAGTAGGGAAACACAGTTGATTTCTAGATGGAACTGGAAGACCCCTCACGTCTGCTGGTCACTAATTTAATTTAGTGAGCTTGTGTTGTGTGTGTGTGTGTGTCTGTGTGATTCATCTATGGTCTGCCAAGTAGGTGTAGTTACAGAAATAGGGGAAAATTAGATTTCAACAAAGGTTTGGTAGTATAGGGAATTTACCCAGTGAACCATATACATCTGGCACTTTGGGAATCTGTGTGGATAGAAGAGTTGGTCACTGCCAATCTTTTCTTGTGGTCATTGGTCTATTTAGAAATTCTGGGGTCAGTACTTTGTAATGTTTTGCTAGGAAATGGACCCTTTAAAATCAGGTTTAAATGTCACCCCCCTCACATCCCCCCCCCCCAACTGAGCTTTGGAAATTCCTAGAGTATTTAAAAACAGACTTAATTTGGTGACCTAGTCCTCCAATCTGTCACTGGAAACATTTAAAACGCTTCTCAGTGTGGCAATGAGCCCCTTTGCTTCGCCCTCTCTTTTCTCTGTCCCTTTGTGCAGGCGCGCTGGGCAAGAGAAAGGGCCCCAGCAGGGGGAGCTGCCCGCTTTGCTCAGCTGCCTTTCCTCCTCACAGCGCTGGCTGCCCTCCTCTCGTCCTCTCCCTGGGAGGTGCTGATCTCCAGGCCTGCTCAGAATCCCGAGGCTCTAGGCTGATCTTATAGCAATCATTTAGCTTTTGTGTATAGGGCTGGTTGGAGGAGATTACTAACATAGCGAATTAAAATGACATTTCAGCGGAACCACTGGAGTTTGTGGGTGTGTGAGTGGGACCTGACAGCCTCACGCTGGGTCTCATGCTCTGCGTCAGTGGATAACCTTGTGCTATCTCTCCCCCCAAAATGTGCCAGGCCTGGCTGGCCTCTCAGGCAAATTCCTTTCAACTACTCCAATCCCTGGGTAAACCCACTATTTCACCTGCACTGTGACTGTGTATTTGCAGGAGAAAAAAATACAACCATGCATAACTGTGTGAATGAATTTGCATGAAACGCTCTTTATTAAGGAGAATTATTCAGCTTCTTTTAGATGTCTTCTAAGTAGAAGAATTCAAGGAATTGGAGTTTGTGATTTGCAGAGGGAGAGAAACATAAAAAAACAACCCCCTCCCCCAAACAAGCCCACCTCTACCTTCAGCATACAGAAGAGCTGAGGTCAGAGTGCACATGGAAACTTAAACGGAGGCTCAATTAACTTTCTCTGTAGTTACAGCCCCTAATCCAGTGCTTCCCAAACTGAGATCCCGGTGATTCTAATTCTGCACTGAGAGCTCTGAGATCAAACCAGTTTAGCAAAACTGACTTCTCTGTCCTATTCTTGGAGATTGACAATACACTTCATTTACATAATCATTCGAGGCATATATATCGAGCTCTTTCTATGTGCCAGGCTGCCTGCCAGGTTCTGGGAGAGTGACGGAACAAAAAGAAGCCTAGTTGCTGCTTGCATGGGGCTTATTCTCTAACAGGGAGATGAATATTAATCAAATAGCCAAACAAATGATATCCAATTACAGATCCAGGTAAAGTCTACAAAAGGAAGGAACGCGCTTACAGGTGTGGTCAAAGGAGTTCTATGGAAAGCGAGTAACCTCACGGGGTGATCTGATCATAAATTCTTAGCTGGGCAGGTCATGTCAGGCCCCAGGGGTGTAACTTCTTTAGTCAAAGGCTTATCTTTGCCTTAAACCAGCCTTGTTCATTCATTCTGCGCGCTGGGATAACACGCCCTTGAAATACCCACTCTCCAGACCCCTCCTTACAGTGTGTAACCTCCCTCGAGAGAACACAGAATCTTAACGATTCTGTAATCCGATCCCTGCCTAGCCTTCTCCCACCCCCCTGTAATCTTCCTTACATTCCCTCCTTATCTCAAATGCATAGAGAAAACTGCAAACTGTTATTCTTGGGAGCATTTGAGACCTTGCTGCTCAGCATACGGTGTCCTCAAATAAACTCTTATAAATAAAAACTCTCTGCAGGTCTAGATGTCGCTCACAGTGACATAGGAAACCTAGGCCAGGGGTCAGGGCAAGGTTCCCTGACGGTGGGACACTGCAGATATCTGAAGTTTGATTAACAGTTAGGATTAACTAGGTCAAAGGCCAAAGCTTGGTGCTTTAGAATGTTCAGTGCAAACATGAGCCACATATGCAATTAAAATTTCTCCACCAACCACGCTATTATGAGAAGGAGAAAAAGATGAAATTAATTTTAGCGTTGTATTTTACTTCACTCTCAGGATATCCAAAATATTGTCACTTCAACATTTAATCAACATACAATTATGAATACAGTATTATATATATTTTTTGTTCCTAGTCTTTGCAATCTGGTATCTTTTATACTCGGAGCACATCTCGACTCAGACTAGCCATATTTCTAGTGCTTGGTAGCCACGTGGAGCTCGTGGGGACTGTGTCAGAGGTGCAGAGAGCGGAACTGAAGACGAGACCAGTGCAGCAGGAAGTCAGAGAGAGAAAGGGATGGTGGTGCAAGATAGGGCGGTTCCGTCCAGCTAGTGTGCTCAGCCCAGATGTTTTACCAAAAGTAGTTGCTCAGTTAGCATCTGGTGATTAGGTCATCTACTTAGTTGTATGCAATACCATCTCTGGCTCATTTGTGCAGAAGAAGAACTCATTAAAAGGACATTGGGTAGCAACCCACAACGTCTGCAGGGCAGAAGAACCAGGCTTGGCAAATACAGGGTCCAGCACAAATAGCACCCCTTTTCACTACAAAATCATAAGCTTGTAATTCTGTAACACAACAATATCACACTCAAGCACACCATGTGAGATTTTAGGTGAAATGTTCAAATTCAAATGATAAATTATTGCATCCAGATTATTACCCCGCCAACCACACTCAGGCAGGCGTTACTTCCGCAGGACCCTGGACACTGGGGCAGACTGATCTGGCAGAGACCCCACCGCTGCTGCGGAGAGCCCAAGCTGGCTGCCCCGTTGGCAAAGTGGCGTGCTTCTAGTCTCACTAGCTTCCAGTTCAGAATTTGGTTGGCTGAGTTTAAATGGGGGGTTCTAGCTGCAAGGGAGGCTAGAAAGCTGTGTTTGCTTTTCAGCTTCTTTAGTGGGAAGGGAGCTCCTCTCACAAAAAAGGGAATTCATTGCTCTAACATAGAGAGGGGGTGTTCAGATGCGGGACAGCCAGAAAGAATGACCAGAGTCTGCCAGAGTAGCCTGAGACCTTGAAATTTTGACTGCAACACAAAGAGAAGTTTTTTTTTCTGAAACCCCTCAGGCAGGGACTTCCTCCCCAGGGGAGGCTTGTCAGATCTCCTTGGGGTTCTTCTGGAAAGCAACAAGCAGTTGATGCTATACATTACTCTAAAGCAGTGATTGTAATTTCATTATGTCCTTTGAGAGTTCTCACCTGTTTTAACACAGAGACAGAGGAGGGCACTCTAACCAACTAGCAATAAAACTTCCATGATTCCATAACCTCGGAGGTTAACAAACGGATGTTGATTCTGTTGCATCTGTTCCCCCGCCCCACCTCCCTTCCCCAGCAAGATAACCAACTTTGCAGGAACACCTAGCTTCCCTAGGGGATCTCACTAACCGGTGACAAAGGCTCCCAATACGCACCACATCGTCCAGTTCCAAGTTCTAGGGACCATACCACGGCTGTGAGCAACTCAGGACAGAGGACATTTTTCGCTCAGGGGTCGCCCACTGCCTCAGCTACCGTGAGTTGGGGAGGTGGCACCCAAGTGCTCATGTGCACATTTTAGAGGTCAATCGGGGATATAGAGCCTAGGGCGCGGCGGCGGGGCGGGGCGGGGGGTACCTGGTCGTTAAGAGTTCCTCCACACCTGCCGCCGGTCCCCACCAGTCAGTTTCCCAACTGTAAAATGTAGATAATGCCGGACCTGCACCTGTGCAGTTTGCCGATAGGGAAGGAGAGCAGGAGGAGGACGGGAGAAACATAATCTGGCAGTGACATTTGCTATCCCATAAAACGCATGGAGTTTTATACTCAACTAATAAAGCCAGCCTGCCTCTTGTTAATGAGTGACAGCTCGCGAGAGTAATGAGGCTATAGGTCGGAAGAGGACCTGCTCCTCCGGACTGATTTGCCCACACAGACCTTCCCGGCTGGGGCCCTGGCATGAGGGAGGAAGGGGCGCGGGGCTGCTGTCCTTCTCTGGCTGGAGTGGGGCGGGTTCCCTTCTGGCGACCGCGCGGTTACTCGCGCAGCCGCGCAGAGCAAGCTCCGGCTTGGCCGGGACGCGGAGCGAAGGCGGCGCGCCGCTTTGCGGCGGCGTTTTCCTTCCCTCCCACCGCCGCGGCGTCCCCAAGGACTGTTGAAGCGCAGCCGCCCTCCAGGTGTCCTGGCCGTGGAGGCCCTTGGAGAGCCCCCGGCTCAGCTCCGGCTCCCCGGCGCCAGATGCGGACTCGGCGACAAGTTCTCCCGCGCTCGCCATTCTCGGTCCCGGAGTCGCGCCGGCGGAGCAGGAGCTGAGACCCGAGACCCGAGGGAGGAGCAGGGACGCGGATCAATGAAGGGAAGGAGAGGAAGGAAAACTGATGAGTAGAAGCAGCTACTTAATTCCACTCAACAAGTAGTTGCGCACATCTGCAGAGGCTCGGTGAGGGCCACGTGCCTGAGACCTCCCAAGCTCAGCTCTCTGTTCCCTTTGGGAAGTGTCGCCTGGTATCCCTCCAGCGCCCCCCGCCCGCTTCAAGGTATGTGGGCGCCTACTATGTGGCAGGCGCCACATTAAGCGCTGTGCATTATCTCTTTTAGTTTTACCCAACATGCATAAGCAGCAGGACCACAGGTATTGGGGACCAAGGAACGAACGGCCTTGGAGAAATTCAATGGCTTGCGCCGAGTTTTGCAGCTAGTGGTGGAACGAGGACTCGGAGAAGGGTCTGTGCCACCTTGGCTCCGGGGCCAACAGCCCCCAGTCTCAGCTCTGCCGGATTATAGTCCCATCACGCTGTCTGCAGCCGTCGAGGGTCTCCCTGGGTGGGAGTGAAGGAAGTACCAAGGAGGCGACGAGGTGGCTGTGCACCATCCGGACCCTTGGCCTGGGGCGCGGAGATACCATTCCGGGAGCAGGGGTAGCTTTGCACTTTGGAGAGGATAATCTTCCTACCTCAAGGACTGCGTCCCCAGTGGGGGCAGTGTATCGAAGCACGGCCCCTACCACCCCCGCGAGGGGAGAGCGAAGAATTTGGGGTCCCGGGCTGGGCACTAGGAGGAAGTGTGGAGGCTGGAGAATGGCAGGAGGGGGAGAACGCAAGGCTGCGCGTGCAGAGCGTCCACGTGGTGGGTGTGTGGCGCTTTCATTCAAACTTTGGGAGTCTCGGTTCTGGCGTCAGCGAAGGTGTGACCAATCAGAGTCGGGAACCGGGAATAAATTATGCAAATCACCATCTGGCGATGGGTCAGATGACTCCCCTACTTTAAAAAACCTACCTCGCCGGGAGTTCACTGCGTGACAGTGGCGAGCCCGAGCCTCCCGGGTGTGCGGCGTGGGTGAAGGCAGATCTGACTCTGGTTTAAGCCCCTTCGCACTCCCTCTGCCACCCCAGCCGCTCAGAGCCGCCAAATTTTCATCTCCCACCCTCTCCACTTTCAGCGGCCTCAGGGGCTACACCGCTCCGGGGAGAGAAGGTGCCCACTTCGGGTCTTACCGGCTCGGACTGCTGGAACCTCGGGAGGTGCTTCGTTTCGTTTTGTTTTATCTCCCCCGCTTTTAGAAGTCCCGTTTGGCGACGGGTGTGTGTGCGGTGGCGGGGAAGGATGAGAAACTCCGTTCTTCAGCTCTGCCTCTGGAGCGTCTATTGTTGCTTTGCCGCGGGAGGCCCCGCAACCCTCGGTCCAGAGGGACCGTTACAAGGTAACGTGCACTGATTTTTTTATTGTCCCCCAACTTCTTTTCTGTGCCGTCGGGACCCCTCTGTCTTGCGGATCCTTCTTCAGTGCTTCCTTGTTCCTGGGAAATCCCTCTTTCCCCCTGCGCTCTGCGTTTGCTCCTGCTGATCATCAGCCTTGCAGTTCACTTGTCTCTTGGCGCTTCTGGCAAGGGCATCGCTAGCAGGACCTAGCCCGCTCGCTCCCTCCCCACCCCTTTCCACGGCACGGGTGGGTCCCTTAAAACGTGCTGTCCAGTCAGCGCCATCGGCTGACGGCAGCTCTTCAACCACGCGCTCATCTTTGAACCTGGAGGTTTGCCAGGGTAGAAGGTTAGAAGGAGCGCTCTCACGCGGCGCCCCTCCTCCTTTTAACCTATCTCCATGTAGGCGTTTTGAAAGTTAGGGTGGCACGACCGTTTGGTGAGTGACTGCCCAGGAGCCGCTGGGCTGCTTCTCACAGGTTGCCAGCCGCCTCCTCCCCAGCGCTCGTCCCAGCTCCCTCTCTTTCTCTTCCTAGCTGCTAGCTTTTCTTCCTTCTGAGTTCCGCATGGCTGTCTCTTCCCCTGGAAGAAGTCTGCCTCAGTGGAATGAGGGTGGGATCCCACAGCAGGGGTGCCAGGGGAACCCTTAAACCGCACCCGGTCTACTATTCTTCTGAGGTTGGCCAAAGGATGTTGGTCCATGTCAGCGTATGGACCGGTGGGAGGGCTAATTGGAACGAATGAATGGAAAAAGCTTGCGTTGCTTAGCATGTTCCCGACTCAGGTGTTAAGTAATGGTGTGGCTTGGGGGAGGTAGCATCTCCAGCTCTTCTCCTGTGGAATGGTCATGTTCCTTCCAGCCTCTGTGTTCTGCAACTCTGAGCATTGGTGGGCCATTTCATTCATTCAAGAAAGTATTTACTGCCTGCCTACTCAGTGCCAGGCGCTCTTCTAGGAGCAGGTGGAAACCCCACCCTCCTGGAGCTTCCACGTCAGCGGGGAGAAGGCAGACAAAATCCAGTTAAAATTTACAAACGGTGCTCAGTGTTGTGGGAGGTATGGAGTGCCGATGGGAGAAGCTGGTGTAGTTTTAACCTGCGGTCAGGCTTTCCTCTTTAAGAATTTGAGAGCGATAAACTAAAGAATGAACCACAAGGACATCTGGCTGAAGAACAACCATAAAGTCCCAGAGGCTGAAGTGACCCAGGCCAAAAATAGTAGCAATGGAGCTAGAGCTCTGGGGTCAGAGAGGCAGCTGCTGAGGTGAACCCTTTGTGTCGATATGCGGGTTTACCCACCAATCTGTCCAGGAAGCCCTTTTCCCTAGAATTTTCCATCTGGGCTTTGTGTGAAGCCCATGGAAACTGGGTGGGAACTGGGGAGGTGTCAGACTAATTATGTCCATGGTTCAAATTTCTGCCCGTTAAAACTTTTGTTCATTACTTGAATGACAAAACACTCTGTTCATGTGTGTTGAGATGCATTTTCTGGAACCCTATCTTTTTTACACCTGGTGCATTCTCTCCCTTCTCTGCCCCCTCTCCACCATGCTGGTCCTTCTTTCTATGATTCCATTTGCTTCCTGACTCTGGGATAAATGAAGCTTCTGGGATGGTCCTTTGGTATCTTTTCCCCTGGTTTCTGGGTGACAGGCGAGTTTGATTTTCTAATTTCTCAGCCCGTTATCAAGGGGTGGTGTCCTAGACAGCTGGAAGAGTGTTTGGTGGGGTTCGCTTATGACCATTGACACCGTGTGGGGATTGTAGCACCGAGTGTTTAAAAACCATGGGGACCATCCATGACCTTGGCTTTGTCATAGGAGCAGCATTATTGGGTTATCTCCTCCAAGGCACTGTCTCTGAGCGGTGGTGGAGCTGGAGAGAGTGGTTGTGCTGCTTTTAGGAGTTTTCCCATGGCTTCAGTCACTTATTTAACAAGCCAGAAGAACGCCTGGCCCATGCCGGGCTCTGTAAAGGCCACTGAGGAGGCATGAGTTGTTTTGCAGTAGCTGCTAGAGTCCAGCTGGGAGGGAGCACTAGGAGAGGCCCATCATGTCATAGGTCGACAGCTTCTTACCTTGAATTCCAAACTCCAAAATCTCTCAAAACTGGAAAATTTGTTTGGTAATTCATTTGGCTGCAGACCTGGCGTTACCTGGCTTGAACTAATTTGGCAGCAAAACTGACCCAGACGGACAGGAGGCTATTTTATAATTTTCTTTTTGTCCTCAGGTTGTGAACAGTCACGCATTTCCCTGCAGAAATGCTGGTGGGGAATGCTCCAGACCCCGCTGGGGGTGTTATATGATACATGCTGTGTGTACCATAATGCCATTTTTCTACTATCTGGAAATGTCTGAATTCTGCAACTCAACTGGTCCCAAGCATTTTGGGGGGAAAAAATTGAGGATCCATACTTTAAAAGCAGTAACTTGAGGGAAAGAAAGAGAACTTGCTTTGATAGGGAAGAAGAAAGAAAAGCAAGAGACACCTGTTTATTTCCGTTACCGTAATTAATACTAGTGACTAATACTCTTAAATATAGACCAGATGTCCCTTTTATAATATTGTCGCAACTCTTCTGGGAGGTGAGGAGGACACATTCAGCAGAGGTAAAAACGGAGACCCAGAGGGCTTGAGTAATCTCCTCAAGATTGTGCTAGAACGACACCCCAGACCTCTCATGACTCAAGCCCACTAGATGCATCGAGCTCTGTTCCCTCTCCCCAGATGAGCTCCACGGCCCCGAGGATGGACAGGTTGTTGACAAACCCGCCGTGCGGTTTAACCTCCGCACCTCCGAGGACCCAGAGCACGAAGGATGTTACCTCTCCTTTGGCTACAACCAGACCCTAGAAGACTGTGGCTTCAACATGACAGCCAAAACCTTTTTCATCATTCATGGATGGACGGTGAGCCCAGGGGAGGGAGCTCGGCCACTTTACCCAAGATTTGGTTTCTTTTGTTTTGGTCAATTAAAAAGAAGACTGGTGCTTCCAGATTCCACTCTCCCCCTGCTGCCCCGCTCCCCCGTTTTCTTGTGGGCTGCTTGTATTTCAGACAGCTGTGAAGAATGTAATGGGCACTTCACCAAGGGGGCAATCTGGACTCCAGCAGGGTGGTATTTAATGTGGGCACACAGCGGGCTTTCAGAAAGTGGCTCTCCTGAGGGCAGCAGCCCAGCTCCCCTGGCTCCTAAGGATCCCTCTAATTACACTTAATTATGTTGGTCAGTCGCTGCCTCACGGGGGCCGTCCCTCCCTAAGGACTGAGCTGAGCTGAAGCAACTTGACTGGCTCGGAGAGTCTCTGAGGAGCCAGCTGGCCTGGCTTGCTGTCTGCCGCTGGCATGGTGCCCACCTGTTTGCATAGAGGTGGCTCCCTTTAAAGGCTCTTTCTGGGTCCTAGCTGAGCAATTCACACTGAAAGGTCCATGACAAACTTCAAGAAAAAAGGGCTGGAACACTCAGCTTCAGAAGCTTTTGGCTAGCTAGCAAGGGATTTATTCATTCATTCATGTAGTGACAGTCTATAGGAAAATGGCACTACTAAGTGAGTAGGTTTCTGCCTAGATTAATTGGGAGGGGACATTTCTCTTCCTACTGATGAGAAATTCATATCCGTTACATGTTTCCTGGGTCTTTAGGTCTATCACCAACTGTTGGGATCAGCCTGGGGGGAGGCCGGGGAGTAGGTGCCTACCTACCTAATGTGACTGAAGAGGCAATTCAAGGCCTGTCCAGCTAGCCAGCTGCATCCCACGGCCCACGATTAGAATCATGCATTTGAATCTTCTTAAGGCCCCCCATCAAAATGCAAATACAAACTGCCTGCAACTTACAAATGGGTTGCATTCCAGAAAGTTCTTTTGTAATCTGTTTGGAACTTGGAATAAAAGCTTTCCACAGAAGCAAGATTGTGGATGGCGGGTGGGTTCCCAGGCCAGGCACAGAAAAAATCTTTTTATCTGATAATGTGCTTGTGGAGAGGTTTACAACTGGACCTTTTTACTGTTTCTACTTTGTTTCTGTGGGAAAATGTGTCCTGAGTTCTAATTTGGGATTCCTGGGATGGATCTTCCCTTCTCTGGGGCCAGGAGGCATGGCGGAGATGGGTTGTGGGATGGGGTCCCTTGTTAACTCAGCGTTTGCCCAGGAGACACCATCTCCCTGCATCTTCAAGAGAGAAACTAATTCTCCAGGGCAGCCCTTCTCAGCTGCCTTTGAACGATGGAGCAGGTCACCTGACTGACTGTGATAGGGACGTAGGCCTACCTCAGACCAGTATTGCCACCAATGCGTATCTCACAGTGGCCTTATAGGACAGCGGGGCAGCAGCTCTTCATGTTTTGTTAAGAAAAAACCAGGGATATAAGGAGCAATGAAAACAAGTACCCACATAGAAACCCTGCCTGTGGTTGGCCCTGCTCATGTGCAAATGTTCTGTCCCTGCTCAGTTAAGGTGAAGATTCTGGAATCAGCTGGGGAGAGGATCATAAAACTGAATCTTATATTCATTAGGATCTCTGAACACAGAGAAGTTTTTTTTAACGTCCTGTTCTCTCTGCAGATGAGTGGCATATTTGAACAGTGGCTGTACAAGCTCGTGTCAGCCCTGCGGACGAGAGAGAAAGAAGCCAATGTCGTGGTGGTTGACTGGCTGCCCCTGGCTCACCAGCTTTACACAGACGCGGTCAACAACATCAGGATGGTGGGACAGAGCATCGCGAGGCTGCTGGATGGGCTGCAGGTACCGGGGATGAGAGGGAGTCATCTTTCGTGAGCAGCATCTTGAACTCAAACCTTAAGAAATACAGGCCAGACAGTGTTAGAGTGGATTTCAGATGTCTGATCAAAATCTCTGGGATTCAGATTGTTATTGAATTAAGTACTACTTGAAATACTTGAAATCTGGGACTTTTCGAGAGCCTTTTAATTGTGATGTCTCTGAATTCTTCCTGTTACTTTATTTCCTAGAAGAAAGTTTGCCTGATGAGTCATTACTTTCTCATATTGGAAACGCATACTCTCAAGTTGGTTGGGAATGGCCAGGAGCCAGGACCGGCTTGTGATCTTACCAACCTATTGCCGCCTGCTTTTGCCTCTGGAGGGTGCCTGTCCTGGGCGGGGGGCGTTGGTTCACACAAATGCAGCCCACTGCCTTGCTTAAAATATCAAGTGTGGAAAACTGATCTAAAGGTCTTAAAATTCTGGGTTCTCAAACAGTCCCTCAGTCTTCTGCCCAGGTTGTTTTGGGGAACTTGGTTCCTGAGCAGCGGAATCAAACCCCCACCCCCGCAACCCCAGCAGCAGAGTGCCCTGTTGGGGTGCAGTGCTCCCACTCTGGGGTCCCAGGCGAGCTTGTAGTGCGGGTGCAGCTCCCGGGGCCTGAGACAGTGGGCAAGGAGTATGTAGCTGCAGGTCGAGGCTGGCACTTAAGTCTCCAGTGAGCCTGGTGGCTTTGACCTCCACACTGCCACCCTCCCCCCTTGGATGCTGCCAGAAAGAATGGAAAATATGTAGGGGAAGGTCAGGTCTACAGCTTCTAGTCACAACCTGCCGCCAGTGCTTGGCATTTGCAGTGCCACCAACTTCTTTTGACCTCCTCTTACTTGGCTGGGTTCCATCTGTGTTGTATTGCCCTCAAAGCCAGCCATGCCCCTGCAAGTCTCTGTCCCTGGCTCCTGTGTCTCCTTGTTGTGATTGAACTGTGGAACTGTGGGGACTCTGGGTTCAGGACGACACTCTCACTGACACACTTTTGTGCTTTCCTGCAGGAGAAGGATGATTTTTCTCTTGGGAATGTTCACTTGATCGGCTACAGCCTTGGAGCTCACGTGGCCGGGTACGCTGGCAACTTCGTGAAGGGCACGGTGGGCAGGATCACGGGTAAGCTCAGCTTCCTCCACAAACAGCTGGTCCCCGAGCTCCCCAGCTCCTCTGACAAGCTGGCTTTTGGGAACCAGAGTGCTCCCAAACGAGGCAGTGTGGGTGAGCCATAGACCGTTAGTTTTGGAAAAGACCTGGGGAACATCTAACCCCTAGCTTTTCAAATGTTCTATGCAGTCACAGAACCCTTCTTCTGCAAATTAAACTTGTGTGGCCTCCCGATATATGAAACGGAAAGGATGTTCTGGTCGAGGCTGGGTGTGCAGTGGGCAGTGTCAGCCTCGTTGTTCGGAACTTCCCCTTCCCCGGAGGCATTGCAGTGGCCCAGAGCCCCAGGGAAACACAGTTTGGAAAGCACTGGTCTGACCCAGCAGGTGAGGAAACACCCAGGTTCGAACAGCTAACAACGAAAGTGAGCCTGCAAGCTTCTGGGGCCCGCGTCCCGTCTCTGCTGGTGACACTCTAGAACCTCAAGGGAAAGATCGATCGGTGGACTCTAGGTTGAATTCCGCCTCTGGTTTCTATTTCATTTACCTACAGCCTCTTGCCAATGCTGAGCTGGAAGATTTATTAGTGATAACGACCTGTTTAGAATAGATGATTAAACTTTGCCCTTAAAGAGACTTTCCTGATATTAGCACCTAGGTTGTCAACAGAAAATTGAGCTTTCCATTTTGCCTAGCTGTTGACATGCGAGTTCGGGTGAAATCCTTCAGTGATTATGAGAAGCGGGAAAGATTCTCTTTCTCTCGGGTTGGGGACCCCTCGCACACTGTGTGGGGCTTCCTCTGGGCTAAAATGAACGGCACATGTGTTGCCCTGAACTTGTAGTCTCCTTGCAACCTTCTTTTGTCTCCCGTCCCCCCCGCCCCCCACAGCTTCCCTTTTGCCCCCAAAATAGAAGGAAAGAGTTGATCAATCTCTTTCCCAACAGTGTGTTCAATTTGAAATAGGACTCAGGTAGAGGTGTGGTCTTAGCTAAAGAAAGATTTAGTGAAGGTAGACATTCAGACTTCAGCAATGCTGTAAGCTGGTGGGGCAGATTTATAAAAAATCTGAATCTGGGAGGTTTCAGCGGCCCTCTTTCTTATCATTGTCCTGGGCTTGAGCCTAATGTGCTTGTGCACACTCACACACACTCACACGCTCTTTTAGATTCAATTATCTGCCTCGGCATACTTTGAGAGCTTTATTTTTTATCACCAGGACGGCGGGGCCTGAGCTAAGAGGACAGTGACTGTGTGGCCACACATGGCTGCTCATTAACCTGCTGCCGGAGCAAAGCTGTCTGACCTTACCCCACTCTGGGGCCAATTGTCTCAGCACCCCCTCCTAGCCCCAGTGCGAAGCAGGACACCCAGAGCCAGGCCAGCCGGTCTGGTGGGGGCCAGCATGCACCAGGCCCCCACCGGAAAGTCCTCGGCAGCAATGACAGGCTGTAGAGCCCCCCTTTCCTTATTTCTAAATCCCAAATGAGAGGAGGCCAGTGCGGGGCGTTCCCGTTCTTTCCCCCGTCTGGGTGGCAGCCCCTGCGATGTGTGCCTCGCTGGCAGAATGCTAATCAGTCCTCCGTGCTGTCTGCCTGGGGTACGGGGACCGCGTGTTCTGAGCTCGGCCCCTTCTTTCCAGCTTTTCTCTGCAGAGCAGGGGGCTGTGGGGAGTAGGGCGGGAAGGCGTGGCCTCCACCCAGTTGCCAAGCAGCCCCTCAAAGGGTATGCGGCTGACCTGACATGTGCTGTTGCGCATGTCTGATGGGGGTCGGGGGTGGGGGCTTGTAAACTTCCCTCTGCCCTCGGACTTCTCCTGGGCCTGGGCACAGGGGGTCCTGACTGGTAAGGGGACCAGAGACTGTAGCTGGAATGGGGTCCTGGGGCCGAGACTGCGGCTGTTGTGCAGAGGCCTGTGGCCCTCAGGGGCACAGCTGAATCCCAGTCTTGCTTGGATCAGAGAGCTGCATATTGGGGTCTGCTCGAGTTTTACACTCCTAGGCTCCTGAGGGAATTCTGTGATGTACTCGGGAAGAGGGCATATGTTTCTAGTTGAACCTTTTTCTAGTTAGTTATAAGTAAATAAGCAAGCAGATTTATTCATTCTTCAAGAAATATAAATTAAGTGAGCAGTCGGTAGGCTCTGGGCTAGATGCTGCTTAGTGTCGAGCACCTAATGTGTGACAGGTACTTCTTGCCTGTGACAGGTAAGTCACAGAGCACCTGGGCAAAGGGGGTCCTTTGGCTCCATTTGACAGGTGGGGAGACCATGACCCTGCTTAAATGATGAGTCCAATATCTTGCATCTTTCGTAGCAGGGCTGGGACTCAAACCCAGGCTGTCAGATTCCAGAGCCCGCCCCCTCCCACGGCACCACACTGCCTCTCCCCAGTCACTACAGGAGCTGTGTGTAGTGCAGGAGGCTCTGCCCTGCCAGGCCAGAATGCAGAGGCGCTCCTGTGTGTGTGTGTGTGTGTGTGTGTGTGTGTGTGTGTACGTGTGTGCACAAATGTGTGCATGTATTCCATTCGCTGGACAGAGCACTTCTGGGGGAGTCAGACTGAATGGAAAAAGGGGTGGTTCTCCATCTTCTCTCTTTTTGGAGGGGGTAAGTTCTCCCTCCCGTTCCTAGTTAAAAAAGTAATTTGTGGAACTTTTCTGCAGTGTCCCTGGGCCCTGGCCCTGTGTCAGGTCGGGTCAGCCTTGGTAGGTGCAGGCCCAGCCTGGCTGCCAGCGGGCCGTGGAGAAGCCCCTCTGCCTGCATTCCTCCAACCCAGCTTGGTTTCCATGGCGCTGACCGTCTGGTGGAGACTTTTGTTCACACCCAGCAAAGAGCTCCTCTCTTATGTTGGTTGCAAAGCAGAATGCTCCTCTTTATTTATTTTTTTCCTCCAGGGGACATGGCAGCAGGCAGGGAGAGGCCACTGGTGTCAGTTCTGTGGTCTGTGTAGCCTGTAAAATGTGTCATCGTGGACCCTTCTGGGAGGACACTCCTTTTGTGCCACCTTTCTTTTGGGTCCTGGGTTGGGGATGAGCTCCCAAGCAGCCTGGGCTCCCTTTCGGCCTCCGTCTTCCATCCATTTATCTAAACTTCTAAAACCTGTGTACAGTCCTCATGAGCAGTGAGTTTCACGGGTCTTCTCTGGACAACAGCGTTGCCTTTTGCTTGTCCTAAAACTGCTCTCTCAGCCGCCCGATGTGCCCCCTCGTTCCCTGGTCCCGGGGTCTGGGGGGCACAGTTCCATTCCCGCCCCCTGCTTTTCAGGACTGGTTTGGGTCATGCCTCCTCCCGCCTTGCTGTTTCTAGATCAGGGTTTCTTAGCCTTAGCTGTATTCACATTTGGGGCCAGTTAATGCTTTGTAGTGGGGGCTGCTCTGAGCACTGTTGGGTGTGTATCAGCACCCCTGGCCTCTGCCCTCTATATGCGATGCTAGTAGCTTCTCTGCACCCGTCCCCCCCTCAGTTGTGACAACCAAAACTGACCTCAGACATTGCCAACTGTCCCCTTGGAAGCAAAATCACTCCCAGTTGAGAACCACTATTCTAGACTAAACAGACCCCCTTCCTCTGCTGTAAATAGTCTCTTCGTGTGTTTTCTCTGTGTCTGCAGGGCGCGAGCCTTCTAGGTTGGGATGAGTTTGGCTCCCATGATTACTTGTGTTTAGTAATAAGAGCTAGTATTTGCACTGACAACTGCTTGGTCTCACACTGCCTCACACGAGCTGTATGAGTTGAGATATTCATGTCCATTTTCTAGATGATACTGAAGTAGGGAGAAATTTTTCAAAATCTGGCCTGCAGACTACCTACTTTCAGGGTCACCTAAGGAATAAATATATGTTTCTGGGCTCCATACCAGACCTACTAGTGAGAATCTCTAGGGGCCCAGGGAATCTGCATTTTATAGTCCTCACATTTTTTGAATCGTTTTGCATTCATGTGGTTCCAAAATTAAAAGATGGGGAACATCTCTCTTATGGCTGCCACTCCCCCCGCCCAGTACCCCACCCTGTGCCCCACCCTGCTGTCCCCTGTCCCCCCCACACACACGCATACCACAGGTAACCTGTGGCTGCTGTGCCCTTCCAGAGTTCTTTGTAGTTAGAAAGTGGAATCTGAATTTTGTAACAAGCTCCTGGTGATATCTGTGGTTTTCAAATGTGAGGACCAGTACTCTACCAAGCAACTTGGCTGTTCAATCCAGAAAGTGTTCAGGCAAAAATGTTTTCTCTTTGTAGTTGCAACATACAGAAATTCTGGAGGCGTGAGATAGAGACTCTCAGTGTATCTCACTGCTCCACTCCCGGGCCTGACCCATCGTTAAAGGAAGGGGGGGAGTAAATCCAAATGTAAGTAGGTCAGTCTGAGGACACTGAGGCTTCCCTCCTGAAATTGTAGGACGTTCAGTTATTCCATGAAAAACCTGTTAACTTGAGGCCGTGGAAGGCTCTCAGTGCCAGGACAAATGGGACGGGTAGCTTAGTTTCAGCCCGTCCAAGTTCTTCCTAGAACTGCTGTCGTTCTAACAGTCCGTGGTTCCTTGGAGCTGCGGGTCAGGGTGAAGCTTGTGGCCAATTGACTGCATCAGCTGAAGTGTCAGGTCAGGTGAAGGCGTCAGAAGAAAGTGGAAATTCCTTGACAGCAGGCACTGAGCGTTCCAGGTCGGCTGGGCTCTGAGTTCAGTGTCCTCCTGCGCACTCGGACTTGACCCGACTTGGCGCACCCGACACAGTTGGTATCGGCTCCCCCTTCCGCCGTAGGTTTGGATCCCGCCGGGCCCATGTTCGAACGGGCAGACATCCACAGCCGGCTGTCCCCCGACGACGCAGACTTTGTGGATGTCCTTCACACCTACACGCGCTCCTTCGGCTTGAGCATCGGGATCCAGAGGCCCGTGGGCCACATCGACATCTACCCCAATGGGGGCGACTTCCAGCCAGGCTGTGGGCTCAACGACATTTTGGGGTCAATTGCCTATGGAAGTGAGTTCCTTATTTTCTGCTTCACGGGAGGTTTCACGTCTCCTCCTAAATCAGCCAAAACTGTGAGAGGTCCCAACCACACGTACTGTGTTGTTCCCACCTCCCCCCACAGGGGCCCTCAAACACTGCCATTCCTCGTCCGATGAGCCTGTGAACAGCCGCCCCGTGGTCTCTGCTCTGCCTTCTCACGCTTTGAGGTCCAGCTTCTATTGATTAATACCTCTTTACAACAAAAGAAATACATATTTGTTGAATAAAATCAAGCAATATCAAATTGCGTAAAGCAAAAAGCAATGTGGTCCCCTCACCTCACTCCTGCTTCTGCTCACTCTTCAGAACTACCCAATAGGAGCGAACAGTGCTGTTTTTCCCGTCTTTCCTTTGCAAATTCATTTATGTGCGTGTGTATAACGGTATTTGTCAGAAGGACATTGCTCTGCCACTTTCCTTTTTCAATCATAGTATGTTACGGGCATTCTTAAACATCAGAGCACCGAGACCTTACATTCTCATTTTTAGAGATTGTGTGATATTCTATAGTGTGAACACACTATAATGTATTTTTTGTAACATTTTAAAGAAGCGAACCCAAGATGCTTTCTCTATTCACTTATCATTTGTCTTCGAATGCCTGAGTCTATTGCCAGCAGGCTTGGGCTGGGCTGAGTGTGCTGCTGAAACGGATGTGTGGCCCCATGACTGATCTCTTTCTGGATTTCTCCTCACTTGCTGCCTTGGATGCTGGCAGCATCTCTAAGTCTCGGCCCCAGTCAGTTCTCTCTGCCATGATGCTGTGCCCTTGGGCGTCCTGCTCCGACACTCGGGGTATTAAGACTGTTGCCCTCTCCCAATATGATAATGTACCCAAGTAGCCTCTGAAGGATGTTGAGGTCCACGCAGAGGGAGTTCAGCCCTGCCCCAGGGGGTGGGAGGATGGAACTTCTCTCTCCCTTCTTTTCCTTCTTTTTCTTTCTCTCTTTCTTTCTTTCTTTCTTTCTTTCTTTCTTTCTTTTCCTCCCTCCCTCCCTTCCTTTTTTCCTTCCCTTCTTTCTTTTCCTTTCTTTAAATTTAACATTTTATTTTTATTTGCTTAGATAGGGGGGAAGGGAGAGAGAGACACACACATCCATGTGTGAGAGTAACATTGATCATGACCCCAGCTGGGGACCTGGCCCACAAACAGGCATGCGCCCCAACTGGGGAAAGAACCAGCAACCTTTCAGTTCCCAGGCCAATGCTCAGCCCACTGAGCCATGCCAGTCAGGGTGTATTTCTTCAGTGTTAGTGAGAATGGGGTTTTTCTTGGAGTCCCAGGACTTACTGAAACTATTGGCTTCAGCCTCTGGTTGTAAGAAATAATGATGGATTATGCACCAGAAAATCCAAGTTATACTTCTAACTTTGAAACCAGCTGTCTGTGTGAGCCTGAGCAAATTACTTCACATTTATGGGCCTTTGGGTTATAATGGAAAGGAATAGACTAGAATGCAGTTGGCAAACATTTTCCTGAAATGTCAGCTAGTGAATATTTCAGGCTTTGCAGGCCAGAGCCTGTTTTCCGTGCTCCACTCTGCTGCTGTGGCACCAAAGCAGCTGTAGACAACATATAAACAAGTGAGCGCGGCTGTGTTCCAGTAAAACTTTATTTACGAAAACAAGCGGTCAGCCTGCCAGCTGTAGTTTGCTGAGCCCCGGATGGGATGATGTTTAGCATCTGGCCCATTTCCCCCTTGTTGCGACTATACAACCATATGAGGACTTGGCGACTCCTGCTGTACACTGCTCTTCATCACCTGATTTCGTGCCCATTGCATGCGTTCTGTTGCTCCCTGCCGCTTTGTGTGCATTAGGGCTGACTTCCCGCCTGGGGAGCAAGCGGCTCGGTGGCAGGAATGGCCTCTAACTCCCCTGCATCTTAGTGGAAGCCTAGCACATCACTGGGCAAGTGTGAAGAATTACACAAACGAGAATACAAACAGCAACAGTGCAACTCGTTATGGTTGGTGAGGTGTACAGTACTTATTTTTTTATTTTTCAATTACAGTTTACATTTAATATTACTTTGTGTTAGTGTCAGGTGTACAGTGTAGTGGTTAGACAATCACAATCATTACAGAGTACCCACCTGGCACTGTACACAGATAGTACAATATTAGTGGCTGTGTTTCCTGTGCTGTGCTTCCCATCCCCATGGCTTTTCTGTGACTCCTGGTTTTGCACGGTGCTTACTGACTGAGTGGGTGAATCATCGACAAGTGGCTTATCTGGCCTGTTTTCCATCTCTGCCTCCTTCCCTCACCAGCGTTCGCAGAGGGGGTGAGATGTGAGCACGAGCGGGCCATATACCTCTTTGTCGACTCCCTGATGCATCAGGATGAGCCGAGCTTCGCGTTCCAGTGCACGGACTCGAACCGCTTCAAAAAGGGGATCTGTCTCAGCTGCCGGAAGCACCGTTGTAACAGCATCGGCTACAACACCAAGAAAACGAGGAACAAGAGGAACAGCAAGATGTACCTAAAGACCCGGGCGGGCATGCCTTTCAGAGGTAACCCTCTGTCCCCCAGGGCCCTAGGGCTGTCTTCTCCCTCCTTCTAAATACCTTGTGGGACGGGGCATGTCCCTGCATTCGAGGTGTGGCTGGCACAGTTAAATCAAACCCCTGCAGATCAGGTTCCGTTGTGCATGCCGCAGGAGTTTTAGTCTGTAAGAACAAATGGTGGGGACTCCCTTTGTTGTGTGAATTATCACACCATGATCACATTTGACATCTTAAATTTCTCTTGCATTTAACTTTTCAAAGCTGTTTCATCCTTGTTTTCTCATTTGATGATTACAAAAAATCTGAGGCAGGACCAATAGGGGATCAAAATGATGCCTGCTTTTTTATAACATGTTATAAAACCATAAAGTTTTGTGGGTATTGGGGGTATTATTTTACATATTAGGAAATTAAGGCTTAAAGAGCTTTGATTCTTTTTTTTAAAGATTTTATTTATTTATTTTTAGAGAGGGAAGGGAGGGAGAAAGAGAGAGAGAAACATCAATGTGCAATTGCTGGGGGCCATGGCCTGAAACCCAGGCATGTGCCCTGACTGGGAATCGAACCTGCAACACTTTGGTTCGCAACCCGAGCTCAATCCACTGGGCTATGCCAGCCAGGCCTAGAAGCCTTGATTCTTAATGCTAGGTTATGCAGCAGGAAAGTAGGTGGGCCAGAATCCCCAAAAGTTCTCCTGAACCCCAAGCTCCTTCTACATCCCAGTGATCTCTTATGCCATTGGACAGAACGAGACCAGAGAGAAACTGGAGACTGGGCTGGACCACAAGGATGACCGGCCCTAAAAACTCACTCAGTGTGCTGGGTGACTGACCTTGGGTCGGGTCGCCCTGGCACGGCGATCAAGACTGACAAGTGCCTTTGTTCTGCTGCTTCTGCAGTTTATCACTACCAGATGAAAATCCACGTCTTCAGCTATAAGAACACGACGGAAATCGAGCCCACCTTTTATGTCACCCTTTATGGCATCAATGCAGACTCCCAGATGTTGCCTTTGGAAACGTAAGTCCTGAGTTCCCTTTGCTGGGGTGAGGGTCAGCTGGGACAGAATGAGAGCATGCAGGAGCCTGTGAATGGTGCGGGAGAGTGTAGTCTGGGGGGCTGGGGGAGGGGCAGGGCAGTTCCAGCAGCCCCTGCAGTCCTCTGTCTCTCCACTTGCTCTTTTCCACCAAGCCCTCGACACAGCATTTCTGGGAGGGAAGCTTCCAGGATGAATCAGCAGCGTGAGAAGCTGCTGGAAGGCAGAAAGTGCTGTGTCATTTTAGACAATGTCTGACCCCTGAGGCTTTAGGGAATCTGGAACGGTGTAAGCATCATCCCTGGACCATTTCCGGTTTTCTGTGGGGCATGCACACAGACTCTGTAGAGATTTGTCGAGACTCCTAGGGTTCAAAGAGCCAGGCTGCTCAGTGCTGGGATTGCAAAGGAATGGCATCGCAGTTCTGGCTCCCAGGCTCAGGGTCTAGCTGGGAGAGCAGCTTTGCGTGCACACGCTCACGCACACAAACGGGGTGAGGCAGGCTCCCAGGTGCCAATGGGACGGATGGGCAGGAGGGGGCCAGGACTTTTTCGGGAGACCGATGCCTGGGGGCCCAGAGGAAGAGGATGCTGTGGAGTGGGCATGCAACTCTCTGTGCATCTTTATTTCTGTTTTTATCTCGGACCTGTGCCCCCAGGAAGTAGTGTACGTAAATAGGGAGGTGCTCAGGAATGGTTTTGATAAGAAGGGGGTGGTGCTGTAGGTCAGCATGTTGCACATTCAACTTCCACTGTGTTCCTGCTGGTGGAACACAGATGGGGTGGCACTGGGGAGAGAGCTCCCCTCATTTCTCTGCAGTCTGTGGGAGGCAGGTGCTACCACTGTGCCACCCCACATGGCATGGCAGCTTCCCAGGGGGCGGGCATGAGATCAGCTCTTCTCTCCCCTTTGTAGAGTGGAGCAGATCGGGCTGAATGCCACCAACACCTTCCTGGTCTACACAGAGGAGGACTTGGGGGACCTGATGAAGATCAGACTCACCTGGAAGAGGGCATCTCAGTCCTGGTACAGCCTGTGGACTGGGTTTCGCAGCTTGCTGTCCCAATCCCCAAAGTCCAAGCAGGAAGTGAATATCAGGCGCATCCGGGTCAAGTCTGGGGAAACCCAGCAGAAGTAAGTGCCTCACGACCCTTGTGGGCCCCACGGCAGTAGCAGGCAGGAGGCGTGTCTCGGCAGTGTCCTTTCCTTTGCTAAGCAAGTGCCTTTAGTCCTTTCATATCCAGAGCACGTGGGCAAAACTTCAAACACCTTTGCAAGGGAAAGCAAATTCTACGTCAAGTCCTCTGTCAACTTTTGTGTTGTGATCACAGGCTGTTGGCTGAGAAGGGTACGCAAGTGGGGGCTGCAACCCAGCCCTTGTTCTGTTTGCCAAGCACTGGGTTGGCCCAGAGGAGGAGGCTGCTCCTGGACAGGGCTCATCAGGAGTGCTGCCTTGCTAATCTCTTGGCCCCAAGGTCCATGCAGCCGCAAGTCTTGGCTTGCTCCTGTGCAGAGCAAACCAGAACACCAGGTCCAGGGAGCCCCTGGGGTGATGTCTGTGGGAGGACCTGGTTTCCTCAGCATCCTGTTTCCAGAGCATTAGACCTCTCCTTCTGAGGTTGCAAGTCAAGGTCATGGGGCGGGTCCTGACGTCATGTAAAAGAGAATCCTTTATGCCGAGCTAGCTGGCAGTTTCCCCACGTCTGTTAACCCCAAGACTAGCATGATAAATCCAGAGCTTTATCTGTCAGCACCTTAAACCCTACCTTGACTCGCTAGGACCTTTCTCAAGAATGGGAGGGACCCTGGTCAAATCCTTCAGCAGACTTCTAGGAGGTCATGGCCAGCTGGGGGTGGTCGGGGACAGCCTCCATCCTCTTTGTGCCTCACCTGGTATTTTCCCTTGTTTCCATCCACTGCCTCTGGCACAGGATGGCTGGGAGAGGGGAGGAGGCTTGGGCTGCTTGTCCGAGTGATTTTGCTCTAGAAACCTGTCGATTGGGAGTGCCAGCTGGGAGAAGCTGTTAGAGCCAAGCCTGTGGTCTCAGTAATTGTGTGTTTTGCTTGTAAGTACAGCCTGTGCCTAGGGGTGGGGTAGCAGAAAGAGGACCATTTTAATAAAATGTTTCAAGTATAATAAACCACTAAGACTTCACAAATGTAAGCGGTTTCCCACATTGGTTTCAGATAGATTTTTTAAAAGTAGCACATTACAGGTAGAGCTGAAGCTCTTTTGTGCCCTTTCCCTGTTCGATGCCTCTCCTTTCAGACCAAATGTACTGATCTTCCAACGTTAAATAATGTCAGTGCCTTGCCCTCCTTTGTGATTGTTTTACCCTTTGTGTTTCTGCTTGTATCCAAACAGAAATGTTTTGGATGCTTCTAAAACTTATGAGGGGATATACCCCTTCACAAGTTGCCTTTATTTATTCAACACTGTTTATGAAGTTTATCCAGTACATATAGATCTAGTCTATTCTGTGTGTGTAATGTCATCGTACATTTGTTTCACCATTGCTCTGTGGAATATTTCAGTGGTTGCTGCTTTTCGGCAGTCGTGAATGGCACCGGGATGAATATACCTGTGCACGTGTGAGAGGGCTCCTTTGGGGTATAAATACCAAAGAGTAGAATTGCTCAGTTTTAGTATATGTCTTCTCCAGTTTGGCTAGATATTATTCATTTTCCTCTCCAAAGTTGGTGGACCAATTTTAATCTTAGCCACAAAGTAAGAGTTCCCCTTTCCCCTCCTCTTCACCTACATTTGGTGGGACATTCTTGATATTCCATTGGGTATGAATTGGTCCCTTACTGTTGTTTTAAACTTTTTCTGATTGTCCTAAGGTGAGTAACCTTTTTATATGTTTAGGTACTATTTGCACTTCCTGGAAAGAGTTCTCAAAGCAGTTTTGATTAGGGCTTTTGTCCTTGGGGTGAGCAATAATTGGTCATGGGGTCATGCTAATCACCCACCACTGAGGTGGGAGTAGCCCACATGGCTTGGCTGTAAGTTACAGTTGGAGTGGTTATTACACCACTGATTCTATCAGTGATCTTGGCTGTCCACTTCCTGAATCTTCTATTCTGACTCCCAGCTGAGTCCCGCCATGCTTGTCAGTGGATATTTGTGAGCACGGCACTGGAGATGCCTTGAGTTCCTTCAGCCAAGGAGTTTACAGTCCACCACAGAGAGAGGAATCCACAAGCAAGTCAAGACACTCATTATACACCAGGCTGTCAGAAGTAGCGACGGTAACAAAAGCCACATTTATACAAGGACACGCTTTCCTATTAAATTGAGAGATCAGGGTCTCGGGCCGTCAGAGAGGTTCAGACAGGCAGGCAGTCTTTTGGAGAGACAGAGGGAAGAGCGTGGAAGCAGTATGGGTAAAGGCTGCGTGAGCCGAATCATGGGAGCCGTCAAAGAGAGACATGGGTTAGAGCACTTGCCTGAGTTCCGAAGGTTCTTGAGTCAGGATGCAGCAGGATAGAACTGTTCTTTCCTCCTGGCTCTGCCCACCTTGGCTCCGGAAAGCAGTCTGGCTAATGCACAGCTGTGTACCTTGCCCTCGAGAGTTTTGGTTGCCTCACTGGTTTCTTTTTCCTCTTAGATTTGCTTTTTGTGCAGAAGACCCTGAGAACACCAGCATATCCCCTGGCCAAGAGCTCTGGTTTCACAAGTGTCCGCACAGATGGAGACTAATAAATGAAACCAGGTAAGTGGGGCTCTCCCTACGTGCACGCAGCACACATTGACCGGTCACCTAGTGCGGGGCTGGGCACCTGGGACACAGCAGTGAACAGAGCGGAGAGAGATCCCTGCCTGCGTGAAGCTGACCTTTCATTGCAAGGAGATAGGCCAGTCAGTGGGACATACAGGGTGTCAGACGGTGTTAATGCCCCTTTGCCTCTCGTTCTCCCTGACCCCATGGGGTCACAGCTGTGGTCCTGGTGGAGTGTCTTTGGTAACTGAATCCCTGGGGTTGGTGCCCGTGCCCCGACTTAGACTAGACTTCTCTGTGGTGAGCGGGCCTGTGGGCCGTTCCAGGGCCCCCAGCCTCCTTCGGGGCAGCAGGTTGGAGTGGGAAGTTGAGGGGGAGGTAAAGGAGAACCATAAAGTGTAGTCCTGTTTTGTCGGTTTTCGGGAACCCAGGTTGGTGTGAGTGGATATATTAGTGAGCAATTTCCCCCCTTTTGAGGAATGCTCATCTGTGTCACGCTGCATTGACAAAAGGGTCATCTTACTTCACTGTCGCCTTGCCCCATGGTGGACGCCTTTTGTTTCTGAACTGAGGAAAGCTGGGATCACAAGGTGTGAGGCCGTGGGCACATCCCAAAGGGGAATTTGTCATACGTCCTCTGACCTGAGCGCCTGCTAAAGAGGAGGGAGACCAGCTCCCCACCGGCCCCCACCTCTTGCCCTTGCCAAGGTCCTAGATCATCAGGCCACTGCTATACACCGAGCACACAGATGTGCCCACCCTGCGTCCGGTGCCTTCCGTACATCATGTCATTTACCTGTATCGCCAACCCCAGGGTGCAGGTGTGGTTTGCCCTGTGGACAGGTGGGGGCCTGGAGGCTCAGTTTAGGCCAATCTTTCCAGCTTCCCCGCCTGGTCATGGCAGAGCGAGGACTGAGGCCAGCTGGTTCACTCAGAGCCTGTGCTCGCTCTTGAGCAATTCATCCCACCCTCGCAGATGAATCGCCTCACCGTGATCTAGGTATTGGTTACCACACGGCTGCGCTCACACCGGGGTCCCGGCGATGAACTCTCTGGCAGCCCTAAGGCCTGGGCTGCATGCCAGCAGCTCTGTCTCCTGCTAAGGAGCATCAGTGGGACCACGGGCTCAGTGACCACAGGGCCTGTGGCATTCTGAAACTGCCCATCTAATTAAGCAACTCAGGCTAGGCTCATGTGACTTTGTGCTACAATAAGAAGTTTAATTTTTTATGTTGGTGTTCAAGTTTATACCTTTCCTAGTACTTCCTCATGTATTAACTTCAGGGACCCTGGGAATAGCCGCATAGATTGGAGATGTCTGGGAAGGATCCCTGTCCTCATGAGAAAGCATCTATAATAAAATATTTTCTTCTTTCTCACCCCAGACTTTCGTGAGAGTTGAGAATGCTGTAACTTATCTCATGCTACCTCTTTGAGAAAGCAAGTCGTTTTTCCCTTCCTCCTCAGAGGGACAGAAAACAATGGGAGCCCAAGTAATAAATTAACTCTGGGAAGTCATGACATCCTTAGACCTGTGTAACGCCTGCAGCATTGTCTGCCGACCTGGTGCTGTCACCTCTCCCCCGATAAGGAGGCTGGGGTTCCGGGAGGTTCCACAGAGAGTCAGTGCAGCTGAGACTAGAACCAAGATCTCTGGGCTGTGTCTTGTTCATTCCTTGCCATTCCATGGTCACTCCTCTGTTTCTTGATCAAGGCAGAGGACTTGTTGATAGTTCCCCCCACAATCGTGCCTGTGTGTACACACATGCAGTGCCTTGTGTGTGTGTGTGCTGCAGGTGAGTGTTGTGCTGAGGAATGCCAATGCTGAGGAACCCAGAGAAGGCTCCAGTGTGGTGGAGGGTGGGGAGAAAGAAGCACTCAGGACCTTTTCCATTAGTTCTGGAAGGGAAGCAAGGGAAAGGGTCCGGTAGGGTTGTAAGACAGCTTGGTTGTGATGTGATGTGATGAGGGCACACCCTCCATCCCGGCTGCGGGGTTTGCTAAGCGAGCTAACGAACGCCACTCTCACCCGGTTTCTTTCAGGCAAACTGTGGAGCTTCCCTGAGGGTGCCAGCAAGGCCTCTGCCACACTGTCCAAGCACATGGAGGAAAGTTACTGCTGAGGACCCACCTGATGGAAGGACTCCTCTTGGCCTTGACCCTGGAGCACAGGGAAGAGCCTGCTTGGGGGGCCCAGGACCTTGATCGCTACAACTGAGACTTCCCACCAGAGGGGACCATGCGCTGCTGTTCTTGCTGCTCCTGCTGCTCCTGCTGCTCCTGCTGCTGCCCTAGAATAGCTTGAAGGACAGATCTGTGGCAAACACCTGGCCTCTTGTGCACACCGGGCTGGCTCTTGTGACTGGGTGAGCCTGTGCTTTGCCTGACAAGGGGCAGTGGCTCTGCGTGGAAGGCCGCCAGCTGCCTGGCCCCACCTGAGCCACTGGGAGGCCTTCCCACTGGGAGTTGACTCATGTCGGGATGGCAGACCTGTGTCCTTGTTCACCCAGACACAGTCGATCTGGGGCAAGGCTGAAGCCCTCATTGACCTGGGGTCAATGAACTGCACTGATCAATATCGGTCAAACTTTTTTTGACCTTCTGCCCTGCTCCTTAACTCACTCTTGAAAGCACACATTGGCTTTTTAATTTTTCTATTGCTCATTTTTTTTTGACTGGACAATTTTTTTAAGCACTTAACCTTAATGGGGTTGGGATTTCTAGGCTCCCTTCAAGTTTAGATGACCCATGAATATATATGTGAGGAAGGCACAAGGGACATTGTGGGGAGCCAGAGGATGCAAGAGTTGGGGGCCCTGAGGCTTTCAGCAGTTTCTGTCCACTTCTTCTCAGTTGACATGTACATCCCCCCGAGAGTGGCCTGGTTGATGGCCAGCAGAGTAGCAAGCAGGTACCCTACATGCTGGGGACCAGATGGTGGCCAACTGCCAGATACAGTTGCTTTGGAGCATAATCTCTCCTGTCCAGGAAGGGTGAAGGTGTCACATATGTGATGCATGTCTGTTTACCCAGAACTGTCACCTGTCGAACAGCGGGTGCTCAGATGTGACCCAGCGTTTTTCCTTCCTTGGAACGTCTTGTTCTAACACCAGCCTCTTGTCTGTGTTGAACTTCTTCAGAAGCCCCCAGCTCTTCATTTGAGCTAATATACATGATGCCTGAGAAACCCTTTTTCACTTTGCAAAAGATTTTCATGTGGGTCGCCTCACTGGAGATCAAAGACGGGAGGTGAACAGGGAAGCCATTATCCCCATTTCACAAAACCAATGCTCCGTGAGGGTCAGCCGTGTGCCTAGCATTGTATACCTAGTTGGTGCTGGGGCTCCGCGAGGACCCAGAATTCCTGGAGGCAAAGTCCTTGGTGTGTTCGTCTCTGCAACTTTGTCAAGACTTCCACAGCCCCTTCTCACCAGGGAGCCCTGCATGTGACAAGTAGAGAATAGTGTTCAAAGCCATCCCTAAAGCCCCAAGGAAAACATCTGTGCCAGGGTTTGGGCTTTTACAGATGAGATTTATTTGGAAGGAGATATGATATCAGGCGGGGTGAAGAGTGATTTTTGTACTTAGGGTTTGAAGGGACACCGTTTTACTCTCTCTGTGCCAAAGTTGCATCCTTGTTCAATGCCAAGCTTCAGAAGACATAACCAGTCCAGTCGTAAGTCAAGGTATTTTTTCTATCCAATTGTGTGTTCGTCTGTTCTTTCTGTGATTGCTTTCTAGCCAAAGTGGAGCTTATATTACTGACGGAGCCTCCTGGTCGCTTCTGACCTGTTTTTAGTAATGGAAGCCTTGGGAGTCCAGTCCTCAGTGGGTCCTGTATTTATACATTTGGCTTGAAGATTTATTTGTATATGATGATGCTTTTTTAAAAATGCTATGCAGAACATTATTTATTTCTTGTGTATGTAATGTATAAAAACAAAAAACAAATATATGGTTAGTTTTTACTTTTAAGATTAACCAATTTCAAGATTAAAACATTTTAATAGTAAAATAGCCCTGGCTGGTGTGGCTCAGTGGATTGAATGCTGTCCTGCGGACCAAAGGGTTGCTGCTGGTTCAGTTCCCAGTCTGGGCACACGCCTGGGTTGTGGGCTGGGTCCCCAGTTGGGGGTGGGTGAGAGGCAACCAACTGATGTTTCTCTCGCACATCAATGTTTCTTTCCCTCTCTTTCTCCCTCCTTTCCTCTCTCTCTGGAAATAAATAAATAAAATATTTCGAAGAAAATTTAATAGTAAAATAATAAAAATCTGCAAAATTCTTAGTGGTGTGGCCACTCAGTTCTTAGAAGTGGAGAGACTTATGGTTGCTCAGGCCTAGGGTTTGACAGAAAGTTACGTCAGTGTAAGATACAGTCTCCATTTGACACCAGTTGTTGGTAAGAAGTGGGCAAAAACTCCTTTCACTAAAAAACAAGAAGAAAACTTATTTGGATCACAGGGGAAACGCCTGAAGGTGAATGTTAGGAAGAAGAGGGAGAGTGGCTGGACACTGGGGATCATTAGTGAGGATACAGGTTTGGTTGCCTGGGACCTGGATACTACAGTGACTTACACTAGAGAGAAGTTGATTTCTCTCTTGTCTTGACTCCCAGCTGGTACTGAGGTTCTGCTCCAGAAAGCCCAGAAGGGTCTAGGCTCTTAGTGTTTTTGCTGTCATCCCTATGATGTTCCCCTCATCCCTATAGTCCAATGTGTCCCCAGGTAGGTCTTCCAGCCTGTGGGAAGGTAGAAAGTTCCAGAAAGGGGGCACATGTCCCCTCTTAAGACCATTACTGAGAAGTTGCCCACATGCTTTTGGCTAGAAACCATAGTCATGTGGGAAGCTGGAAAACACCGTCTTTGTTCAGGGCACCCATGGGCCCGGCTGCAAATCTAATTGCTACTTATAAAAAAGGAAATTGTATATTGCCCTCTGTTCCTCAGGAATTAATTTTTATTCCAAAGAAACAGGGAGATACACCAAGGCAGCCTTTAAATCATTCAATTTTCTAGCCAGTTTTTAGTAATAAACTGATCTGTCACTATGCAGTTCAGTGGATTATATCAATTTGATTTTACCTCTAGTCTTCAATGTTGAAGTGTTTTAAAATGAGAAGAACCCTCTCCATGAGGGTCGTTCACAGCAGGAGAAAGCGGCTGCTGTTTGTTTTCGCCTGGGACTGTCTGAAATCCCAGAGGTAATAACGGGCAGGGGAAGGATCGGGGCGATGGGAAGCGTGTGTTCATCTAATTCAGGCAACGAGGGAAGGGCTGGGATCTCTCCGGCAGACTCAAGGGGATTCTGAGTGGCCCAAGGGCACAGGAGCAGTCTGGGCGCCCCCCTCTGTGTCTTGTCTGACTTCTAGACCCAGTGCCACCTCCTCACCTGTCGGAGTTAGGGAGCTTCCACAGGACCTCCCTGGACCCCACCGACAAACAGGGGCAGTGAGCTTGGAACGATGGGTGCCAGGCAGGCCCAGACAGCCGGGCTCGCTGCCGGTGTCCGTTTCTTCATCATCGTCTCTGTGCGCAGGGCTCCCCTGGGCCCGCTGGCCCGTTGGCTCCTGGAGGCTGAGCCTTGTTTTTCATTGGGCTTCTTGGACTGGTGTCTGAAGTATAGTTAGGTATTCAGTAGATATTCAAATGAAAGGGGGACATTAGGGACAAAAACCCAACAGGCAATAGGAGAACTAGGAAAAGAGCAATCACTTCGGAGTCCAAGTCCTGGCATGTCACTCAGTACTGCGTGAGCTTTAGGCTAAAAAGAATCACCCAAGCCTCTGTCTGTCCGTCTGAGAAACAGAGACAGTATCTCACAGGGTTGTTGCGATGATTAAATCCATGCACTGAAAAAAATCCTTGCTTTGTGAACATTTGAACTAGAAGAGGACAAGGTCACAGACCCACCCCAGGGGCAGTGTCCATCCAGTGACTGGTGACCAGGTCCCACTTCCTTGCCTCCAGACGGGACACCTCTGGAGGGCCATCGGTGGCGGTGAGGTCCACTGAGGCCTCCGTGGTGTCACAGGTCACTTCTTGCCCCACCCAGTCCTCGGCCTTCCCTCCCCAGTAAAGAGTCCCGCACACAGATCCCCATCCCAGACGGCACCTGTCCTCCAGGGAATCCGGCTGAAGTCTGGTGATGACTTCCCAGACAGCCCAAGATCTACTCCAGGGCTTCAAGGAGTGTGGACAGAGGAGCCCAAGTCGGCCCCTGAGGCTCATGGATGCGATGTGAGGAAGACGGGAGCACGACGCAGAAGAGACCCGTGGTGCAAAGGACGGAAATCCCGACGAGGAAGGCGATGATGGAGGGCAGTGAGAAGTTCGAGCTGACAAACGCCCCAAAGGCTGAGAAGAACACCAGGAAGAGGAGGAGGAGGGGTGGGGGGTGGGAGGAAGATGATGGGGTGGCTGTTGCTGAGAAATCACAGTGAAGAGCTGAAATACAGCCGTACCCCGTTTCAGAGACAGCGCTCAGCCGACAGTCTCCTTACAAGCTGCTCAAAAATAAACCTGCCTACTGAACTCTAGGACATTTAATGACAAAAATGAAGTATTTAGGTATCACTGGCCTACTAGGACTTTTGCTTATGGCTAAAGGCACTTGCCGAACTCACTGGTGCTTTCCTTTTCACACGGGCACCCTCCGAAACCGCCCTGACTTGGCAAGGAGACGGGAGAGGTGCTTTCTCTTTCAGTGGTCACCATGTGAAATCACCCTGTCTGTGGGAGGAAGAGAAAGCACCTGGCCAGCTCTGCCTGCTCAGTGTGGCAGGGGCATGGGTGACCCAGTGGGGGAGAGAGAGTGGGGGCGGGGAGGGAGATGGAGACTTTCTGTCCAGGCCAAGTGAAACTGAACAGAGAGGCTCACCCACTGGGGATGGGGTCACCGAGCTGGGAGTGCCCAGGGGAGCACCAATGGGAGGGGAGAGTACACACTTCATCACTCTGTCTGCTGCCCTCCCATGGGGTGGGAGTGTGAGGTGGGAAGTGGAAGGAGAGAGCACCGGAAACTGCTATAGAACCAAATACCACGACACTCAAACGTGCTTATTCTCCTATGGATGCTGTTGAAACCCGGAGCGGTCAGAACTGACAAGTGGGCAGCCGACATTAGCCGACACAGTCCTCCACCTTGCTTTAAATCTTGTCCTCCTCTGGCCCAATGATATGAGCCTCACAGAATCACCCCATATTAAAAAAAAAGTTAGAATAAAGTCTAAATTTAACCTTGGGCTAGAAGCCAGTTTACTTTATACAACAGACATACTCTTGTAAATTTAATTATCTAATAATGACTAATGAATTCCTTATGCATTAGTATAAAGTCCTTTTACCATGTTCTTTCACTTGAGCTTTCTAACCAGCCATGCAGTATTGTTGTGGGCCACGCAGAGGAGGAAACTCAAGTTCCAAGTGGTCAGTGGCTGCTACAGGGCCCCTCAGTAGTAGGTGGATGAATTTGGACTTAAGTGAGTCTACAGACACGAAAGCCTGTGTTCGCTGTTCTTTTAAAAGCGCTAAAAGAAATTACATTTCAGGAGACTCTTATTGTGACTCTGCCCTCTACATAAATCTGGATGCTCTTCTATTATTACAAGGTGGGGCCGCCTGCTTTCTTTGAAGGAGCACTGATTTCAAGATTCTCTCATCAGGACATGGGCAATGAAAAAATAACCTTTCTGGCACTAAGTGGAAAATTAGCAGTCACCAAAATTCCCAAACTTGCCCAACTGGCTTGCAGGTAGGCACCAGATTAACGAAGAATGGCCTGGATGTGTTTTGCCAGCAGAACCACTGCTCCTAGTGGGCAGGGACGCAGTGGAGAGGAGAGGAGCAGCTATACGACGGGAGGTGTTGGGGGCAGGGAGCAGGAGGTGAGGCCCGCATGCTCTCCAGCTCCACACAGTAAGGCAGGCCTGGAGGGTTCCGGGTAGAGGAGCCAGCAGGACCCAGGCCCTTCCCAGTCCCATTTCATTAATGCTCACTGCACTGCTAAGAGATGGACTGTCCCCTTCTTTATTTCAAGTGTGAAAACAGAGGCTGTACTTCAGTTCAGCTGAGGCATAAGTGTCACTGTTATCCCATCTAGTCCCAGCTCTGGGGCCTGGGTACCTCTGTTGGCCGAGAAGTCTTCAGAAGGGCATTGGTTTGAGCTAACCAGTCTGCTAAATGGGTGCATGCCATGATACGTACGACTGAGAGTCAGTGGACTGAGTTTTCGGAGGGAAAGTCAGCTACCTTAAGGAATAATCTAATGAGAGCATACCTCATCGCAGGGGCATTTTTTAATTTGTTTTAGCTGGGTGGATGTTGATGCTTCTTCACTGACACCAGATCAGTGCATTGCCAACTTTAATGAACTTGTGAACCACCCGGCTAAATTCCATAGTCCTGAGGCTGACGTTTCTGGCTCGGCCACCCCTCAGAGATGAACCCCAGAAAGCAGCCATCCCCTCCCTTGGCTCTTTCTTGCTTCCTATAGGAGAGTTTTAACAAGGTGGGGCTTAGGAGTTTACGACCTACCACTGCCCCACCCCCAGCAGCCAGATCAGAGAAAATTCCAGATTTCAGTCCTTCTAAGGTCAGCTGCCACCTGACCAAAAGAGAACGTCTGGGAGTCTACAAAATCTCAGGTCTGTGGCTCTCATTGTCTGGCACAATTCCCTGGGCTGCCCCCTTATTGATTCAGCACTGGGGAGTGCTGCGCAGAGGCCAGAGAGGTCAAGAAGGTGGCGAAGGTAAATGAGGTACTCACATCCTCCCACAAGCACATCGAAATTACAACTAAATTACAGAACAATCACCACTCAGAACCACCTGAAACTGAGCTGAGTGAGAGTCCTACAACTAAGGAGATACAGAAGAAGCCATCTTGAGACTGTTGGGTGCATGGAGACACAGAATGGGCTGGTCCCATACCTGGGTTTGGCAGTTAAATATTGGCAGGAATATCTTGGCT